CAAGCCATTATAGTCTGAAGAAGGGTATCCCATTTCCCCAAGGGTGGCTGCTTAATAGGGGTTCAACTGTGTAAATGTAACTGAGAAGAGCAACAATCCTCAATGTTGATAATCTTAATTGCAATCTGGGGCAGATACAGGATTTCAGACATGAGGGTTTGAGATACAGACCAGCCAAGGCGGTAGCCTGTAGTGGGGTCAGGGGGCATCCTCCCCAAAAAATTTTTAAAATTGAGGTCCTCAGAAATGGGATTTCCGGCATTCCGAGGCCAAGTCAGCATGTTATGATGTCTTATTTCCTGTAATTTAGGGGGTTCNCCCCCAAATCTGCCTCAGTGCAATGATGAAAAGTACAGGTAGCTTCTAAAAACAACCAATTAAGGGTGCATGGGCCAGGCAATATTTTCCACCATCAGGTTAATTTCTTAGTGAACATGGAGTCACTTCAAGATAATCCTTATAAACATGTCTGGATTTTTTATCACTCATCACCTGTTTCGGACTCTTAGCTGCCATCGCCTTTCCCAAACAAAGTTTTCAAATTTTGGGTGGCCGTTTAAAAGCAGTAAAGACAAATAGGAAAACTCTCATCAGGACAACCAAAAGGTGGCTGTGGCCACTTAATAGAGGTGGCTGGTTAATTAATAGGGGTTTTATTTGCAGTATTTTACTGGCAATAATTTCAGGACTTTGACAGCTGGCTGCTTACTAAGGGGTGGCCTCTTAATAGGTGGCCACTTGATAGAATTTTGCCTGTACCAATGTGTACGAGCAGCAATGGCTTGTCAAATGCTCCAGGCTGTCATAGTTTTTAAACTGAAAGTGAAAAGTAGGAAGCTATAAACTGAAACAGCTAGTAAGTATCTGGATGAAGTTGTCTGTTTGGAGATAGGGGTGCAATACAGCTTTCCTTCCCAAATATCCCTAACAAACCCATCAATTATTACTCCACCTACAGACCTCAAGGAAACTTTCATTCTCATCTCTAGAGTGACCTGTTTCTTTGAGCTGCCAGGGACCAATACACAAGGAAAAGGAGGCCCTAGAGACCCTGTATGATTTCTTTGGCCACATTCTTGGACTATTGTTGCATAAGTAGAGAATTACAATATCAGTGGTGTAAGTAAATTGTATTGTAAGTACCGTACGTAATGTAAGTAATAATATGTTTGTAACTGAAAAAAAAAGAAAGATAGACAGCATCTGATCTTTGGATTAACTAAGACTTTCACTTCGCTGGTCACCGGTTGACATCCAGAAAACTGTTCAATCATAGCACCTAATGTCTCTGAAGCCTCTTTCCCTGGCTTCCAGGGAGAGTTTTTGGTGAATTCCTCCATAACCTAACTTATGAATACAATGTCTGGCCTGAATATTACTTCCCTTAATTATTAACACAGTGGTTGACCATAAAGTAGTGATTTTTGCTAACTCTGAAATTGTCAGATTAGAAGAAAAATCATAACTAAACAAACATATTAAAACTATACACAGCAAGGTATATGCTGCAAAGCATGTGAATGTTTGCAAGTGCTCTCAGACTTTTGTGTGGGTGGCAATAACACACATTCCTCAGCCATGGAGGCTTCCTTAATACAAGTTCAGCTCTTTGCTTCTTTATCCAAAGCTTTGAAAAAGTTCTCCCACCCATAATAACTGCATTCTATCATCATTGTTGTCAGGGCGCAAGGATGCCTACCAGGTGACTTTCTGGCTTCGACTAAAGCTTCAATGTAATCATGTTTAGAGGAGCCTGTCCAGACATTGTAAATTGGCGTGGGAAATGGATTTAACTTGGACAGTGAATAGCTGCAAAGGATTCG